CTTTGATTGTGGATGCTCAGAAACGTGTGCTATTATATGCCATAGGTCGTCTAAGTGTCAAGCGAACTTTAACCCTTCATGTACAATATACAAGCTTTGTCCACGGTGAACTTGACAGATATCAACCCTACTCAATCTGGTTGGACGTCGAAATTTTAATGGAGATATTACGAACACTCGAGTACTTCGTAAACTGAAGGAATATTGGTTGCCTTGAAGCTTCACGAAGAAAACTTTAGTCTTTAGGAGGACTATTATCTAAAGAGGTTGTGTGAAACTTGTAGACTCAGAAGACACAATTTATGTAATCCATATCTTTTTGTTGCCCTTTTTTGGTTTGTTTTATGGTATGGGGGCAAACGAGCAGACGGGCTACCTGATGGCAAGTGACTACCGCGCCCATGGACACTACAACTAAAAAGACACAATTATTTTTCCAAGAGCCACCCTCCACAAGTTAAGTGAGAGTGAGTGAGAGGATGTTTGTTCCTCCGTAACCTATCGTGTAACCTCACTCATCTGAATCACTTAATACCGTTTTTCTGTAAAGCCGTGGTATCACACTTGCCGAAGCATCGTTCTCCCACGGCTTATATACAAAGTGGCTATTGAAAATACTAATTTTGGTCAATGTTACCTCTAAACACAACAAACCATTCAAGCAACGTAACTTAACGTAAGGCAGATCATCTATAAAGCAAAAAGGCTTTGGGAGAAACATAAACAACACGTAAACTACAGTCGCAATAAAAATCTTATTTGCAAAAAGGGCAGATAAAAGTTTACCTACATTAGTTTCGTACACCCGTACACGTGTACCTAACAGTGCGTCGCGTCGGCTCATTACTTCTCAATCCAATCTCGGCCGTGTCAATGCCAAGTTTGGTTTTTTGCCAAGATTTTAGCTTTATTGTGAAGTTTTCGTATACCTGACATTTATAAATAAATTCTACAAGTGTACAAATACAAAGTTTGTCATTATTTACCCAAACAGGGATCTAAATAAGGTCAGTTGATTGAATCATATTTTTTTAATATTCTTATTCTAGTTTCTCCGTTATATCAATTTGTTTTATTATAAAAATCGATAAAAAAAACTATTATTTTATCAAAGACATTTTCAAAACATTTATTATAAATAAAAATAAATTACTTTTTCAAATAACAAAAAGTGTATCGCAACGTTTCTTTTTTTTTAAATTCATGAATTTGTGTACCGTATGGTACACAAATTCATAAATTTAATAATATTTTTTTTTAAGTCAATCTTAAAAAAAAAAACTTAAATCTCTAAGTCAAGGCAAATCGCAATAATACTCTTCTACAATTTTCTTATTCTGCCGCAAGAATCACCAGTCATGATTACCTACTATTCACAAGAGAATAGACCAACTGGTCAGCCAGCGTTATATAGAATTGCGTACCTAAATAACAGAATAAAAATAATGTTTTTAGAGTATTTTCAAAAAGAAGAATTGCAAACCAAATGAAGCAGGATATAATCTGCAAAATCAATCATAGCCGTTTTCATAGATTCTCTTGCAGAGACTTATATTTGATAGCTGCCATTACCCATGACACTAACCTCGTAAATTTTCCAAAATGTATTTACATTATAATCTGAAGGCTTAGAGAGCCGTTATGAAGTAAGAAATGGGTGGCAGCTTGTCTAATAACGTCTGCCGCATAAGCTGTGTGTTTAGCATGTATTTAAACAGTGTTACATATTATTACTGTCTCAGAAACCCAATTATAGAGAACAGATTTGTATAACTAACAACGAGGCTTGTAAAGCCCTAATATGTACTAGGGGTTTACAAGCCTAATTACTACAAAACAAATATAGACCTGTATCTACATAGGTACAGGTCTTTCTTTGTCTTGTAGTAATTTCTTGAAATCAGTCTCTATTTAGAGTTATAAATAAAAGTTAATTGTTGTTACGAAAAAGGTAAATCTTTAGTGAAATTCGAACAGTGCGTCAGTATTTTTTTTGCACTTTTGGCATTTTGATAACATTCGAGGAAGAAAATCACTTACCTATTTCATCTCGAACTGTCAGAATAATATAACCAGACAACCATGACGTATTTTTCAGTAAAACTGACAATGCGTAAAAATAAATCTACAGGACCAACACAGCTTAAATATCCAAATTGATACAAATGCAAGTTAGAGATTTAAGCTGTATTACCTGACAATTCGTAAATACCAAAAGATCCCACACATATGTTGTCATTTTCAGCGGAAATAGAAAGAATAGATATACAGCTGTGGGTCAGGCATAGTTGTTTCTTTAACTGAGGCAATAGCCATTTCTTTAATGAAATTATAGACAGTATTACCACCACGCTGCCGAGAATAATACCTAAATGTTAAAAGATTTTCTTCTCGCAGCTGTGAAAAGCCCTCGTTCCAATCGTTTCCTTAAGTTAACGACAGCTGGACACAAAATAAAATTCTTTTTTTTCTGCATAATCTCAAAATAAACAAGATAAAGTTAGAAACTGTGTGAATTAAAATGGAATTCCATTACTTCTGTCGTATGTTGGTAGATGGCAGAAAGGGAGAAACACCTATTTGTGTGTCGAAGATATTTGTTTTCATTGAGCTTGAGCATGATTTTATTGAAGAGCAATAAAAGATAAGAAAATTAACAAAAATATATAACAACCCCTTAATTTATAAATAACCAGCTCTTGAACGCAGCTACGCTCTCATGATTATATCTTATGTCGTGTTTCTAACTTTAAAAATTACGAACTTCCATCCACCGTTCATCCTATATTTTACCCCCTCAGAGGTAAAATTTCCAAAAATCCTTTATTAGTGGATGCTTACAAAATATAAAAGCATCAGATGCTCAAATTTCAAGTGGTTTTGGCTCCACGTTAAGGAATCAGTTAGTCAGGGCAGGTAGTTTAAAATGTACAGATAATTTTAGAAGGCTCTTAACTGTGCGCCATTTACTTAAATTACTCTAATATTCAACATTTCGATGAATTATTTCACCTTCACGTTCCAAATTGTATTAAGAATACTCAAAGTTATCATTATCATCATCAACAGCCTATAATAGTTCACTGCTGGACATAGGCCTCTCCTTAGAAAGGGGGTTTTGGCCTACTATAACACTATACTCAAAGTAAGTATATTAAAATTCATAAGAATCTCTATTGAATACTCTTTGATCAGACATTCCCCATTTTCAATAATGTAAGTAGGTACATATTTTATTTTGAATTCATAAATCAACATGTTTTATTAATGTTTTTAGAATTTGAGTTTATTTATTACAGTTATGTTATTTTATACATATATAAGTAAATCTTAGAAGACTTTTTGACTACTGATAAACACATGTATTTTAAAACGGATCTTGAAACGAGTCATTTTGCGAGCGTGGTATTGTAAGCCAAAACATGAGAAATGGTGACATCTCAGTCACTCATGGCGTATGGTATAGTTATTTTTTAAGGATTCCGTATACCCAACAAAGAACGGAACGTCTATCCTTCTGCAGCTTAACTAAGAGACCGTTATTACTACAACAAAGTAGTCAAATAAAATTTTTGAAATAAATATTCGTATCTTACGAATAGTGTGGGATGTTTTTTTTCCAATATTCATTTTATAATGTATTGTTGGTTATGTGTTACAAAAATAAGGGCATGTAAGGAACACTTTTACCTCATTGGTCTCTTTGTGAAATATTGAACTCTATATAGAGCTAATTTTGTTAAAAAAACAATAACCTACACGCCAAGCTGTTGACTTGGACAGTCTAATGGAAACAGTGGTGGTATATGGCCAAAACTATTTTGCAATTTTCTTAAATTAAAATAAGAAAAAAACTGGAAAAAGGTAAGAAAGAGTTGGTGGTGGCATGTAATATAAGATATAATGAAAATTATCACAGCTAAGGTTAGTGACAGCATAAAGCAACAATTAATTTAGCTCTCTTACTAAAAGGTCTTGTCATCTAATTTACTAAATTTACTATTAAGGAACTACGAACGAACGAACGAAGTACTTGTGCAAAATACAAAATCATATAAATGTATTTACAAATATATATGTAAATATTAAACTTGTTTAAACTTCGAATTTAATTCATAACATTAGCTCTTTGCCACTCGCATGTCACTGTGATTTTTTAAATCATCTTTTAACAGAAAATTTAAAATTAAATTATTAAATTATAAGTAAATAAGTGAAATTAGGTGAAAGAAAAAGTTACTAAAGAAAACGAATTTAATCACAAAGTGTACGCTTGGTTTAAGAGCAGTGCTTCAATCTACATTTTCTTCAAGTTTTTTAAAATATTATTCAGATAAAACCTTTTCAAATTTTGAATGCAGACAATAGAATAGAGATATTACAGTGATTGGCGGGAAAACCTGTTGCTTTCTCAGCCTCCCTCGTCGCTGGCTTTTCATTTCAAGAGCCAGTCGAGATAGGATCTAGCGAAAGACGGTTGTGTTTTCGTTTTAACAGCGTTCGCGAGCTTACGCGATCTTAGTTCGTTCTTTCCAAGAAATAAATAAATAAATTCCTCTGTGTCTACGTAACATAAATAGTTAAAACTAGATATGTTGCTAAAAATCAATGAATGTTAACATCAAGCTTCCCAATACTTATTTTCCTGATATAAACATAGTTGTTTACTGAAAATATTTGCATTAACTATCAAATATAGATTGAGTGATAATCTCTTACTTATTTAATATTTTAACAGAATGTGAAGATATGCTATAATGCACATTTCTACTTATAAGTAGATATGTGGATGTATAACGTTCCATAATAGGCTCAATATTAGTTAAGGTACAGACATAATTTAAATTAAGATTAAAAATATCAGTTCTTATATCACTTCTGTTATTTCCAAATCAAGCTTGGAACACTTTCGCAACCAAACATAAAATAATTTTTAATAGTTATTAAACTATAATAACATAAATAGTGTTAAAACACCGCAAGTGACAGGATCTGCAAACATGCTTTTCCAAGTATCGTGGTTACTCATATTCGTTCCCGTTTTATCGAGCTCCGCGTCTACCCAAGTAGTGTACAAAGTGGGGGTACTCATGGCCTCCCGCCTTGATTCCCCCTTCGACCTGGAAAGGTGCGGTCCAGCCGTGGATTTGGCCTTGGACAAAATCAACGAGAAGTTTCTCGCACACCACGGAGTTGAACTACAGAAGGTGCAAGGCAGGTATGTAAATTGTAAGGTTATTTATTGTATTTTTTGTAAAATTAAATTGTGTTTAACATGTTTATAGGTACTTTTCGATATTATGGGCAACAAGTTGTGTACAATTATTTATACCTATTCAGTAGTCCAATCAGTGAAACAAACCGACCTTGATTTAATAAAATATGTCTAAAACCGATACTAAATGCATGATTTATTATAAAACCCAACTGGCCATAGGCTTATCTCCAATCTTCAGATCCTGACTTGACCCTTTCAAACAAAAAACGATTATTTTTGCCAAGATCCTTCCAGCCATCTTTGAGTAATCCGAAACATACGTAAACAAAATTTAGGATCGTGACGAACAGACGTGCTTTTTTTGAAGTCGTTTTAAGTTTCGGCGAACAGATTTGTTTTAAGTCTGTTTAAAATGTCGAGTTGTAAAATCATACCACCCTAATTTATTTTAATATGTATGAGATGGGTATATGAAAGAGAAAGAAAGAAAAACATTTAATATTGACAACAAAAAAACCAGTCAAGTACGAGTTGAACTCGTGCGCCAAGGGTTCCGTACCTACACAGATTTTAAGTAAACCTATTCAAAAATTTCGGATTTCGGATTTTTATACACCTAATAGGGACTATAGACCTCAGTATCTATACAAATAAATAAAATTGAAGTGTCTGTTTGTAATGTCAAAATTATAGTATTTTTTCATGCTCACACGGTTATTTTCACAATACCTATGTCTAAAAACCAGTTTAATTTTTTCTGTCTGTCTGTCAGTCTGTTTGTTCCGGGTAATCTTCTAAATGGCTTGACCGATTTCGATAATATTTTACTGCCAGGTAGCTGTCTACATAAGGAATAACTTAGGCTATTTTTCCTCTCAGAAAAACCCTTTAAAATTTTGCACGTTCTGGGCATCAAACCCACTAAGGCAGCGCAATTCAAATTCCACGCGAACGAAGTCGCGGGTACCAGCTAGTCTGGTATAAATTCGAACTTTCTAGGTACTCCCGTTCCTGAGAAAATCGGTGGGGACACACGGACAGAAGGACGGACAAGAGAGTCATCTTATAAGGGGTTCCTCTTTTACCTTTTGAGGTACGAAGCCTAAAAAGGACCAACAATTTAGTATTCTTAGTTATAAATATAAAGATCAACTTTAAGGTGTCTTGAAAAGAAATACCTACAAGAAAGAAAATAGGTATCCTTACATCTGACTAAAGTTTCTGTGCAAACTACTGTGAAATTTTTGGTTGACTTATACTGTAACCCTGTGGCCACTGTTACTAAACTCGCTCCTGTTGCATATGCTGAAGATATCTTGAATATATCTTTTTAACCAAGGTAATGATGCCCCTATTATTGCATACATCATAACGCCAGTTACACGACTTACTGCATGCGTTACAACGGGGGAAGAATGGCTAAGAGTTTCACTATTCTCTCGAAGAAATCTGCTTTACCTTATTATTTCTCACCACAGGCCGGTAACGCACTGGTGAGAACTGTGACAGGTGCTTAGTACTACACAAATAGTGTACTGTCAGTAAACTAGTATACCTATATGCTTTTATAAGTATCTAAGCTTGGCACACAAGCCTACAGGCTGCCAAACAATGAGTGACACATTCATATCGCCTGCGATGTCAATGGCGTGTTACAGAGACTATGTCATATCTGTGGCACTCTGCCAATTCAACTACAAGTAACAAACATAAAACATCAATCATATATATTTAGAGGTGGCAGAATATTCACTAAGTAGATTTTTTCCATGTCTAAGTGTCCTAAGACTAAAGAACCTTAAACTAATAATAAAGAGTATGAAATATATTATAGGTTTGTAGAAAACATCATAGAGTGTAGAAATAATTTTGAAGAAATGGTACTATTACTAAAACGGAGGGAAAAATTAGGGGAGGAAAAAAAACAATGATTCAAATTAAAAAGTTTAAGAGGCTTCCTTTATTCATCTCTTGGCTTCATCATCAGACCATTCTGACTAAGCCCAATCTATTGGACACGAGTCCAATGCCACACCTTAATAGCCACTAAAGAACTTCAATGTCCAATACGCTCCACAGATCAACTTGTAAGATTATAGGATTGTCATCCTAACTTAATTTTGACTTTCAAGACTTACTTACATAGTTACAAGTGAAGTTTATAAAATAACCCTTTTAAAAAAAAGTTGAATCGACTTCAAACAATACTAACAAAGAGCACTAAAAACCTAGCAGCAATCGCGGTTAATTTGCTGTCATTTTTTGAAGACTTACGTTGTCTGTCTCTGAAACTCATCATTTATTTATTTATACATCTTTATTGTACTCCGCTACAGTATATATTGTACAGACATGGGTGGACATCTACATTTTGGTATTACAATAGGCGGTTTTATCGCTCACGGCGATCTCTTACAGACAACCTTTACACGGATATTGTTTAATCTGATTTAGTGTAGTCTACGGTATAGTGATTAATTACACTTTAGGTAATTAATAACTATAAAAGTAAACATACTAAATACGCTTACAATATACACATAAATTCATATAAATAATAATTACATACATACAAAATCATCATCAGATCTTTATGAAATTTAAATGGGACCATTTGGAATGAAACCCCTTTCAAACAAAATAGAATTTTGAAAATCCGTCTATTATGACAGAGTGATACCGAACATATATTAAAAAAAACATATAAACATCCAAATTGATAACCTTCTCCTTTTGAAGTCGATTAAAAATCATGATAAAAATGGCATTTAGATTCATTCCTGATATAAATTAGTTTGTTTCATTGTTGTGATAGATGCTGGTGTGAATTTAGCCTTTCACGTTAAATTGACCTTTTAACATAAAAAGAAATGAGGTTTAAAAACTTTTCTAATATTAATACGATAAAAAGATTTCCCATTTCTTTCGGAACTGTACTACATGGATGGTTGTAGAATGTAACAAAGCACTGCAACCATTTCTACTTTCTATTGTCGTAAAATACGACATATAGAGGTGAACTCTAGCACCCTGCCTTTGTCATATTAGTGGCGCTTTGTCCATAACCGTTACATAAAGCTGTACTTTGTGAACAGTCGTTATCAAGGCCCATGTGGAAGTTATAATTTATATATATAGATAAGTTATACGATCTAATAACGAAGCATGTTGCGCAAAAACGATTTAGGTCTCAAACTGGTAAATTAATAATGCCAATTACGAGTAAATATATAAAATTATCTGTACTCATTTTGCGAAAAACAACGTAGTTGTGATGAATAAAGTGTTTCTAATCCATATGATAAAAAGGGATATTTCAAGAACTATTAAAAAGTATTGATGATTGTATATAGTTTAGTATCAATATCAACGGGACTGTTGGTCTAGTGGTTAGTGACCCTGACTGCTAAGCCGGAGGTCGTGGGTTCGATTCCCACCCAGGACAAATGTTTGTGTGATGAGCACGGTCGTTTCTTCTGTGTCTGGGTATAATTTATCTGTAATACATATGTATTTAGAAATATATAAGTATGTTCATCAGCAGTCTGGTAACCATAGTACAGGCTCTGTCTAGTTTGGGATTAGACTGCCGTTTGTGAGATGTATGAGGTTATTATTATTATATTTTAATTTTAGAACATTTGTACTACTACGTTTAATTTAATATTCGAGATTGATAAACCCTTTCATGCGTGCTGTTCTAACTTCTTCAATAATAATATTAAGTAACTTTTGAAAATATTGAATTTAATAGTAATGCATTATTTGGAAGAAATATCAAAGGATAAATGACCTCCAGTATCGAATTATCCAGTACAGAATTTAAGCAACTTCTGATAAAATTCGTGTTCAGAAACATCAGTGGCCTTTTGGTACGTGATCAAACTATTGAATATATCTATTTATAAAAGTGATGTTCTACCAAATATCGAAAAGCGTTAAATGATACTACGTCTTGCATCGACTTGTTGGGTGAACAGACAAAATCCACTATTGGAACTGCCTGAAATTTCAAGTATGTTTATTAGCATTTTAATGTTTGTGAAAATTAAAAAAAAAACAATGGGAATCATGGACGTGTCACATATGATATTACAATGCGGCCATGTTTTAGGTGGAATTCGACTATCGCCTTTAGTTTTTTCTCCACGTTATTAACTGAAGGTATTTTTTACACGCTTTATATTAGCTTCACATGTATATTTGTATGTTTGTTTGTAACCGACTCCTTTGGGCGTGATTTTGACTGACTTTAAACAATCAGAATTCGTTCAAACTTTGTAGATATATCGAGGACCGATGACAATACACTAATTTAAAAAAAATACTAGTTTAAAAAAAACTAAAAACCAAACTAAAAAATAGAAAATAAATGTATTTTCTATTTTTTAGTTTGGTTTTCTATGAAAAGGTTGTTTTTAGTTTTTAAAACTATTTTTTTTTATATATATTTTGTTTTAATTTTATTTTTAAGTTGTAAGAAATATTTAACGCCTATTAGGAAAAGTGTTTTCACAAAAGCTGTTAATTAAGTCTTTCGTTGTTTTTGACCGAGTGAGTGGAGGATGGACCGTGTGGTGACGGATTAAGAATACAAATTGTCACCACCCCAATTCATCCCGTGGGTGTCGTAAGAGCCGACTAAGGACAACAGCACTGCAAAGAGAAGGAAAACTTGAAGCAAACCCTATACCAACCCGTCTGGCCAGCGTGGTATAGTAGGCCAAAACCTTCTTTCTAAGGAGAGGCCTATGTCCAGCAGTGGACTAGTATAGGCTGTTGATGGTTGATGAGTGGAGTCAGTGAGGTTGCCCGAGTCCAAACCTTTTTTTTTTTTTTTTTTGCGGCAATTCCCTCGGATACCACTTACCGGTGGCAATGTCGAACTCGGACCGACTAAAACCGCACGCCGTCTCAGGTGCCAGTAGTCTTGGAACCAGGTGTACCCTAGAAAGGAAATCCCTGGTGCCCCGACGTACCTATGTGGGAACCCCCATGTT